ATAATTTGCTATTCTGCACTTTTGTAAATAATTACTATGTGTATTCAATTATGGAAATGAAGACAGGTTGTAAAAAAGCACATTTGTGTATATTATTGCATAAAAATTTGAATAAAAACTTAAAGAGAAAAATGTTAATTTAAAACAGTGGTTTAAATAATCATTTGTTTTAAATCAAAGCCAATTATGTCAATTACTCGAACATGAAAGCAAATAGCGAAGTCCAATATAATAGAGGAACACAAAAGTTTGAATGAAACATTGCATTCATTTAGTATTATATTAATTGTTTAATAATTGTGTCGCTCTTGTTGATTCAGCAGAAATACCTCTTGTTGCAGACATCATATTGCATTGTGATATTCACATCGCTCATGTATCATAAATAACTAGGGATGAATATAAACCCAAACACGTGGATATAATGATATCAAAATTAAATGCAGCATTGGCATCAACATACAATTCTGAATTCACACAATTCTCCGAAAATGACTAACACATACAACAAATTAGACGCCATTCACAGAAGTCAATGCAATCCAAAGTTCTTGCAAAACATTTCAAATAATTTATTAGCCATAAAGATACACATCGCCTGCGATTTACCGCCAGGAAAAGCAGTCATATGAATTACAGAATATTATAAAGCAAATTCTGGAAGTCGCCCGGGAATCATTAAAAGCCTCTTCATTTGTGGACCGAGGGGCTCCAGAAATGCTACTTTGCGCCTCCGCTGTATCAACAGAGGAGCGTTCCGCGCCGCGCTGCCCGATTATGCCGATTAGTCGCGCCACGCCGCACAGCGACGCGAGGCATTCGGCAAAGAGCTCGGAGAAACGCGGGGGCGAAGGCAGACGGCACCCTGCTATCGAGGCATGCGGCGGAGAGGGAGACGGGCGAAGACGGGACCGGCAAATGGCAGGAGAAATACAGTTTGAATAGAAAATGTAGGAATGCGTAAATTAAAGTTTGTGGTGAAAAAATACTATCGCGGAAAAGAAATGGGAGGGGGAAAGATAGAAATGTAAGGGAACATTATTATCCGTGAGCGAATAAATGATCTGCCGATCGTCACAACGCGGCAGGAGAAACAATTATCCAGAAGTGGGATCACATTATAGAAGAGCTTTGGCAAAGAAAAATGTCATCTTGGACCTAAAACATTATAAGAGATAATTCGTGAAACGAGGCCGGTTGATAGAGCGCGGCGGACGTGCATGTGAGAAAGGGTAGAGCGCAGGGCGCCGCAAGGGACGTGGGGCTTGAGAATGGCAGTGGGTCTGGCAAACGAGTGGGTTCAGGAGCGGGACTGGTGAACTAGGGCAAGGCGAAAGGACAGGGCGCCGTAGCAACTGATGACGCGGGTGGCGAAGGAAGTGGGAGAGGAATAGAGGCGGGGAGGAGGCGGGCTGGCAGGGTGATTGGGACATTAGTGAGGTGGTGGATTGAGGAAGAGCTGCTAACAGGTTGAGGATGAGAGGGGCGGGGGAGTGGCGGGAAGAGAGGA